TCAAGAGAACGGGGTTGATGGAGTCGTACTCGTCGTGATCCAAATCACCGAGGACCGAGCGCCGAACGAACGACACCTCCGCGTTCAACACACGTACGGTTGGGGAAGACGTCTCCTCCTTCTTGATCCAGCAAGGGGAAGAAGAGGTTGATGGAGATCCAGCAGCACGACGGCGTGGTGGTGGAAGCAGCGGTGATCTCGGAAGGGCTTCGCCAAGCTCCAAGGAGAGGGAGAGGTGTTACGAGGGGAGAGGGAGGTGCCAGGGACTTGGGTGCGGCTGCCCTCCCTCCCCCCACTATATATAGGGCCCCTAGGGGGGGCGCCGGCCCTAGGAGATCCCAACTCCAAGGAGGGCGGCGTCCAAGGGGGGACTTGCCCCCCAAGTCAGGTGGGGCGCCCCCCACCCCTAGGGTTTCCAACCCTAGGCGCAGGGGGAGCCCCATGGGGGCGCACCAGCCCACCAGGGGCTGGTTCCCCTCCCACTTCAGCCCATGGGGCCCTCCGGGATAGGTGGCCCCACCCGGTGGACCCCCGGGACCCTTCCGGTGGTCCCGGTACAATACCGATTACTCTCAAAACTTCCCCGATGGCCGAAACTGGACTTCCTATATATAAATCTTCACCTCCGGACCATTCCGGAACTCCTCGTGACGTCCGGATCTCATCCGGGACTCCAAAAAACTTTCGGATTACCACATACTAATATCTCTACAACCCTAGCGTCACCGAACCTTAAGTGTGTAGACCCTACGGGTTCGGGAGACACGCAGACATGACCGAGACGACTCTCCGGTCAATAACCAATAGCGGGATATGGATACCCATGTTGGCTCCCACATGTTTCACGATGATCTCATCGGATGAACCACGATGTCGAGGATTCAATCAATCCCGTATTCAATTCCCTTTGTCAATCGGTACGTTACTTGCCCGAGATTCGATCGTCGGTATCCCAATACCTCGTTCAATCTCGTTACCGGCAAGTCACTTTACTCGTACCGTAATGCATGATCTCGTGACCAAACACTTGGTCACATTGAGCTCATTATGATGATGCATTACCGAGTGGGCCCAGAGATACCTCTCCGTCATACGGAGTGACAAATTCCAGTCTCGATCCGTGTCAACCCAACAGATACTTTCGGGGATACCTGTAGTATACCTTTATAGTCACCAAGTTACGTTGTGACGTTTGGTACACCCAAAGCACTCCTACGGCATCCGAGAGTTACACGATCTCATGGTCTAAGGAAATGATACTTGACATTGGAAAAGCTCTAGCAAACGAACTATACGATCTTGTGCTATGCTTAGGATTGGGTCTTGTCCATCATATCATTCTCCTAATGATGTGATCCCGTTATCAATGACATCCAATGTCCATAGTCAGGAAACCATGACTATCTGTTGATCAACGAGCTAGTTAACTAGAGGCTCACTAGGGACATGTTATGGTCTATGTATTCACACATGTATTATGATTTCCGGATAACACAATTATAACATGAATAATAGACAATTATCATGAACAAGGAAATATAATAATAATCATTTTATTATTGTCTCTAGGGCATATTTCCAACAGTCTCCCACTTGCACTAGAGTCAATAATATAGTTACATTGTGGTGAATCGAACACCCATAGAGTTCTGGTGTTGATCATGTTTTGCTCACGGAAGAGATTTAGTCAACGGATCTGCGACATTCAGATCCGTATGTACTTTGCAAATATCTATGTCTCCATCTTGAACATTTTTACTAATGGAGTTGAAGCGACGCTTGATGTGCCTGGTCTTCTTGTGAAACCTGGGCTCCTTGGCAAGGGCAATAGCTCCAGTGTTGTCACAGAAGAGAGTGATCGGCCTCGACGCATTGGGTATGACTCCTAGGTCGGTGATGAACTCCTTCATCCAGATTGCTTCATGTGCTGCCTCCGAGGCTGCCATGTACTCAGCTTCACATGTAGATCCCGCCACGACGCTTTGCTTGCAACTGCACCAGCTTACTGCCCCACCATTCAAAATATACACGTATCCGGTTTGTGACTTAGAGTCATCCAGATCTGTGTCGAAGCTAGCGTCGACGTAACCCTTTATGATGAGCTCCTCGTCACCTCCATATAGGAGAAACATATCCTTAGTCCTTTTCAGGTACTTCAGGATGTTCTTGACCGCTGTCCAGTGTTCCATGCCGGGATTACTTTGGTACCTTCCTACCAAACTCATGACAAGGTTTACATCAGGTCTGGTACATAGCATGGCATACATGGTAGACCCTATGGCTGAGGCATAGGGGAGGACACTCATCTTTTCTCTATCTTCTGCCGTGGTCGGACGTTGAGCTGAGCTTAATTTCACACCTTGCAACACAGGCAAGAACCCCTTCTTGGACTGATCCATATTGAACTTCTTCAATATCTTATCAAGGTATGTGCTTTGTGAAAGACCTATGAGGCGTCTCGATCTATCTCTATAGATCTTGATGCCTAATATGTAAGCAGCTTCTCCAAGGTCCTTCATTGAAAAACACTTATTCAAGTAGGCCTTAATACTGTCCAAAAGTTCTATATTATTTCCCATCAAAAGTATGTCATCCACATATAATATGAGAAATGCTACAAAGCTCCCACTCACTTTCTTGTAAACACATGCTTCTCCATAAGTCTGCATAAACCCAAACGCTTTGATCATTTCATTAAAGCGAATGTTCCAAGTCCGAGATGCTTGCACCAGCCCATAGATGGAGCGCTGGAGCTTGCATACCTTGTTAGCATTCTTAGGATCGACAAAACCTTCCGGCTGCATCATATACAATTCTTCCTTAAGAAAGCCGTTAAGGAATGCCGTTTTGACGTCCATTTGCCATATCTCATAATCATAGTATGCGATAATTGCTAACATGATTCGGACGGACTTCAGCTTCGCTACGGGTGAGAAGATCTCATCGTAGTCAACCCCTTGAACTTGTTGATAACCCTTAGCGACAAGTCAAGCCTTATAGATGGTAACATTATCATCCGCGTCCGTCTTCTTCTTAAAGATCCATTTATTCTCTATCGCTCGCCGATCATCGGGCAAGTCTGTCAAAGTCCATACTTTGTTTTCATACATGGATCCTCTCTCGGATTACATGGCTTCAAGCCATTTGTTAGAATCTGAGTCCGCCATTGCTTCTTCATAGCTCGAAGGTTCACCGTTGTCTAACAACATGATTTCCAGGACAGGGTTGCCATACCATTCTGGTGTGGAATGTGTCCTTGTGGACCTTCGAAGTTCAGTAGCAACTTGATCCAAAGTACCTTGATCATCATCATTAACTTCCTCTCTAGTAGGTGCAGGCACCACATGAACATCTTCCTGAGCTGCGCTACTTTCCGGTTCAAGAGGCAGTACTTCATCGAGTTCTACTTTCCTCCCACTTACTTCTCTCGAGAGAAACTCTTTCTCCAGAAAGGACCCGTTCTTGGCAACAAAAATCTTGCCTTCAGATCTGAGGTAGAAGGTATACCCAATGGTTTCATTAGGGTATCCTATGAAGACGCATTTTTTCGATTTGGGTTCGAGCTTTTCAGGTTGAAGTTTCTTGACATAAGCATCGCATCCCCAAATTTTTAGAAACGACAGCTTAGGTTTCTTCCCAAACCATAATTCATACGGTGTCGTCTCAACGGATTTAGACGGTGCCCTATTTAAAGTGAATGTAGCTGTCTCTAGAGCGTATCCCCAAAATGATAGCGATAAATCAATGAGTGACATCATAGATCGCACCATATCCAATAGAGTGCGGATTTTCGTTCTGAACATTTTGATATATTATACTTTTTTTCCGACATCGTATGCAAAAGTTACAGCCGTTTTACATTTTCCCTACATTTTTTGCAAAACATGTCCAAATTTAAGTTTTTAAATTTTCCTAACTAGTAGATGTAGTAATATAACTATCTCTCGAAGGATTTTATTTTTTGAAGTTTTTATCATTTTCTTTTGATTTTTTCAAAACAAAAAAGGCGATCCAAGGGGGGGGGGGGTATTGTTTGAAAACGGGACCTTTAGTCCCGGTTTGAGACATAAACCGAGACTAAAGGGCATCGCACCCTTTAGTCCCGATTTGTGTCTTAAACCGGGACTAAAGGTCTAATCTTTAGTCCCGGTTTGAGACACAAACCGAGACTAAAGGGCATCACACCCTTTAGTCTCGGTTCGTGTCTCAAACCGGGACTAAAGGGCTCAGGTGAACCAGGACTAATGCCTTAGCCGCACGAATCGGGACCAATGCTCACATTAGTCCCGGTTCATGACTGAACTGGGACTAATGTGAATATTGCCCTGTGACCAAAGCCCTGTTTTCTACTAGTGATAACTAGTGGACGAATACATGGGGTCTAGCTGACGATTCCCGAAAACATGCTAAAGAAAGCCGTGAATATGTCTTATTCGTAATCCATATGAATGGTCAATGGGCATCAGGTTCGAGCCCTTCTCTCCCACCCCTTTGAAGGTAAGACATGCCAATGTCTTATTCGTAATCCATCAATGGTCAATGAGGAAACTCTGGGTACTTTTTTTCTTTGAGAAACACCTATAACTTTATTCATACTCATAACAATTACATGTGGACTGATTTGAAACTAAGATAAAAAAACAAAGTAACTCCTATAACTAGGAATTTACAATGAATTTCCTTGAAAACTCCTTCGCGGCATCAATCTCTACTTCAAGAAGTACTTCAAAGACTTTGATGAAGAGACTGCAATTGAACTGGAGAAATGACGTTGTCACTTTCTCACCCGCACGCGTTACCAGTAATGGTTTTTGAACTCGGGGGTTACTGTATTTGACTAGGAGAATTGGGCTAAAGTTGCTAGACAGGCTAGCCCAAAGAAGCTTCGCACAGCCCGACATTTTGATGGGCCACTAAGGCCCACACACTACACAGCCAACCGCTTCCCTCCCCAGTCCCCATTCCACGGTCCACGCCGCCGTCCACCACCACCGAGCGCAATGGCGAAGACCAGGTCGGCGGCGACGCCCCGCCCCTCCGCCTCCGGCACCTCCACCGCTACCGCCAGGATCTCCTTCCGCTCCCGCAAGATCGTCAAGACGCCACCAGGCAAAGCCAAACCCCTCGCCGTAGCCACTGTGCCGCCACCGGCGCCGCCCACTCCGGTGCTGCCCGCGCTGTCCGCCCCGGGCGAGCTCGCGGCGGCGCTGCGCCACCTCGCGGCCGCCGACCCGCTCCTCTCCGAGGTCATCGCCTCCACCGACGCGCCCGCCTTCACATCCTCCCCCTCCCTCCCCGCCTTCCACTCCCTCGCGCGCTCCATCCTCTACCAGCAGCTCGCCACCTCCGCCGCCGCCGCCATCTACGCCCGCTTCCTCGCGCTCCTCCCCTCCGCCGCCGACGGCGCGGTGAGCCCCGCCGCCGTGCTCGCCCTCGCCGCCGCCGACCTCCGCGCCATCGGCGTCTCCGGCCGCAAGGCCGCCTACCTCCACGACCTGGCCGCCAGGTTCGAGGCCGGGGACCTCTCCGAGTCCTCCGTCGCCGCCATGGGCGAGGACGCGCTCCTCGCCCAGCTCACCAGGGTGAAGGGCATCGGCGAGTGGACTGTCCACATGTTCATGATCTTCTCGCTGCACCGCCCCGATGTGCTGCCGTCCGGCGACCTTGGCGTGCGCAAGGGCGTGCAGGAGCTGTACAAGCTCAAGGCGCTGCCCAAGCCGGAGGAGATGGCCGCATTGTGCGAGCGCTGGCGCCCGTACCGGTCGGTCGGCGCCTGGTACATGTGGCGTCTCCTCGAGAGCAAGGGCGCCGCGGTGAAGAAGGCGAAGAAGGGCAATGCGAGCTCCTAGCTAGGTATGTGTCATCTGTGGGTGATGCTAGTATGTATTTGTTGTACTCAAGCTGTTAACTTTAGTAGATGGCAATGTGGCAGATGGTGCCTGGATTAATGAAGCATCATCGTGTGACATTGTGACTTGTGTGTCTTGCCTTGTTATCTTGATGGTTGTATCTTGGTGTACTTGTCCTGCCTTGTTATCAATAAAATTTAGTTTCATCCTGTTCTGATACTTGTAGAGAAGAGGGGAATTTTTATGGCTGGAAATGATATGGAATTGCCGTATGTCCATGTCTGTGCACTGTAATCTTGTATCATTGTTCAGCCTTGACTTGATATATATACAGCCTGTTGACACTTCCAATTTCTGGAATGATACTCGTTAAACTTCTTTTTTGACAGAATCATGATCGTATCTTAGCCAATCTGCAGGACTGTTCTTGATTCTACCGTAATACCGCCCTAGATTCTACGATGCTTAACAGCGAATATTGGTGGGCTCAGATGTCGATTATTCTGGCATTAGGTTCTTCCTGTGGTTCTTGAACAAAGTTTAGTGACCTCTCTTTTAGGAAGGTAGTGGTGACAAGGATTCTGTGTGCTTTTTGGACCTGTGGAGTCCAAATTGAACATGGTGGCCAGCTAAACCAGATCTTGGGGGCGACAAAATGCTACAGGTACGACTTCTTACAAATACCACAAATACATGAGTTTACATGATGGTTTAGTTGACGACTTGGTTTGAGGGGATAATGAACAACATGCAGTTCATGAATCTAGATGATAATCTACAGCAACATAGAGACTTAACCTTGGACATAACCTAATAATACTTTGTACACACAATATACAACTCCTTTTCTTCCTGCTATTCTAATCAATGCTGAATTGCCTTGCACACCCCTATAACATCAGTCCATTCTTAAGAGATCTAGTTTGTACAACTTTGTTCACTGTCCACTGGAGTTTACACTGCTTCATCCTGAAAACATGAAGACACCTGCGCTGTAAGCTTATCTGAACTCTGAACACAAATGCAGATACTCAAATAGTGTGGAGGCTTGTTCTTTCTTTCTTCTTTTTTGTTCTATGTAGTCATGAGGATAGGTGAATGTGTGTGTAGATAGTGTGGAGTTGCACAAAATGTAGCAAAAATCTGTAGTAAGATAGTCCTGTATCTAAGGCGTACTTATGTTGATCTCACTGCAAACTGAAAGCACATGGAGATAAAGACTGCAAGATCCATCCAAGTTTTTGTTTTAGAAGTAGGGAGATTTTTCTGATAGTGTAGCTAGGATTAAACCACCGATGGATTGGACCACAATCCTTTGGCTAAGTGCCAAAGGATGGCTGCAATTAAGAAGTTTGGCTCATAGAGTTCATGGTGCCAGTCATCATGTATGCATGGTGGTAAACCTCTAAAGAAAAATGAAAATACATGAATACCCCTGCATGCTGTGCCTTGAGTTAAAACATCTATGGTAACGACACGGTCCCACCAAGTAGACAAATAAAGCAGTAATTGGTATGCTTACGCTCAACTGAAACTTGCTACTAGAAGCAGAGCAGCTAATGTCTGTGCAGTTTTTGGTTGAGAATTATACCTTTTAGGTCCAGAAGCCCTGGGTCTTGTACTTGGGGAAGGGGATGCGTCCGTGCTCGATGTTCTTGACGTCGTCAACGAGGAACTGGAAGTGGCGGCGAACCTCCTCGGCGGACTTGGTGCCCCCCATGGCGCTGGCCACCTTCTCCCAGAGGTTGGGGGCTCCCACGCCGTAGTAGGCGAGTGCCTCCTCAAACATCTTGTTCTCCTTCTTGCTCCACTCTGAGTTCGAGCTCGGTGAGGACATCCTTGGAGCAGGTAAAGCTTTCCTTGTGGGATTCTACTGAGCTAATGCTTTCTGTATCTAGTATGTTGGCTCCTGGAAGTCCTTTGCTCTTGGAGAAGCTCTGGTGGTTTTGTTGTTGTCTCTACTGCGAGGGCTGCTATTTATAGGCCCTGGGGGTGTTTCATGTCTCTCTCTGTGGGTTTAAACTTAGAAGGTGGCTTGGGAGATGTCAACAAGGTTCCCGCAGGTTTTTTGAGTTAAAGACATAGAAAGCCCGTGTTGTGCGTGATGAAAAATTTAAGTGGCATCACTTCACTGACAGCCTCCTTAAGTAATTAAGCTTTTTTGGCCCACATGCACACGAGGGCATTCCCGACGCATGACGTCTGGATTTGTATCCAACATTATACACATCATCTGGATATTATAGCTATAGAAACTGGATGTGTGCGCCCTCTCAGGCCATTGCTTCCAGCTAAGTAAAAACTGCCAGCTAGATGGCCTTTACTCCAAGTAGAGACCTGTGAAGCCTTTGGTGCTTGCTCACATGTCTCTCACTATGTTTGCCGTGTTCAACTTTTAACTTCTCCACCAAGTTTGAAAAAAAAACCTTTTAACTTCTCCACCATGGCATCGCCGCATGGGTATGATTGCAGCTTTGTTGTCAGCAATTTTTGGCGTCGAATTTTTTGTTCCGTAACTAAATCCCTCATGGAAATCATGCGTCAATTGATATATTTCCTTTTTGGTATTCAGTTTTGAAATATCTGACCATGTGTGCTTGCTACCTGGTTCCAAATTTAACATTTTGACACAGATTGCAAGCTGCTGTAGCAATTAGGCAGCGTGGATCGATGCATGCCACCTGCGTGCTCTGCTCACCAACGGAAGCATCCATCTCTGGATGCATGGCGATGCCTCCCTCGGCCGTGTGTGATGCTAACATGGATCGGCAGAGTGCTCATCGTAAGGCATGCGTCTCAGCCAATAGGCTGCAAGGCGCCCGCGGGAGCAGGGGATACGTGGTATTGATGGACAGGTGCGCATACCCAAAAACCTCTGATCTCGATGCTCATTTCCAGCATTTTCCTGAAACCCCTCTAATCCAATGCTACATACCAAGTGTGCACCCTCAGATGCTATCCGAGTCAATTACAAATTCATCTAAAAAAGTAGTACTATACATATCTCCGCTGACTGCGGTTTTGGGTCTCCTCTCTAAAGATTGTAATATTTCCTCTAATAGATGAAACTCATGTTCAATTGTAAAAAAAAGACTTTCAAAGCATGAAGCATGCCTCTGCATCTTTCATTCCATCGCCATCGATGATAGAGAAGTCCGGGGGGTTGCCCTCGTTCAAAAACGAATTTTGCTTGTCCATGCATTAGTGTAGGGAGCACCATGATTGATTCATCCATTTGGGAGAGAAAGAGATGCAGGGATGTGGGCTAAGAACCTCCATTCTTTACATGTCGTGTGATCTCCGCCACCCGGTCGACAAACAGATCCCAAAGAGACGATGAACACCCCTGGCGGGCTCCGGGGACCGAAGGAATATATCTATCATCTTTTCCATTTCCAGTGGCGTTGGAAAGGGAATTGACAGAATGCCATCCAGCTGCTCCTTGCTTGCTGCATGCTCATGGAGTCCTGGGGTTTGCATCGGATGCACTGAACAGGGGGCGGCGGGCGCAACTTGCTTTTGATTCTTGGGGCGTGTGGACCGGTCCATCCATCCACCGGAGATCTATCCCCCGGAATCATATCTGCGTAAAACCCATAGCAAAGATGCTGGATTCCCCATCATATTTCGAACAATCGGAGCAAAGCTTTTGAGGAAGATGCTAGCTCATGTAAACTAGACTCATTGCATGTATTTCTGCGAGCATTTTCCTTTAAATTTCTATTCTCATACGGGACAAATTTTGTCAGTTCAGTATTGTAACACGTTCATGCATGGGTTAACTTCCAAATAATGGAATCACAGTAGGTATGCATATATACATAGACGACATATTCCTATAATTTTCAACATGATGGTATCTGATATAACCGGTGTTACATTTCAAGTATTGCTGTAATATCTGATTAATAAATCATCAAGCAACCAATGGAGCCAACACCTTTGTTTGGAATGCAAGTGTTGCTTACTGGCGGGCTAGGCTAGTTTGACCACAGTGTTGTCTCTATCGAATGAAAAGGCAGATAGGTAGATAAAAGGAGAGGGCGCATCTCACTTTGTGCAAAATACGTTATCTTGCACACAAGAAGTAACTTTCTATCTACATGCATGTGTTTTTATTCTAGGAGAAAATTCATTCATGTGATGTTGAGGCTTGAGAATAGCCAGCCTGAATTTATACGAACGGTCAACTTGCCTCTGTCCATAACTTGATCCTTGTCTAGTACTACAAGCATCATCTTTTTCACAAAGTATATTAAGCTAAGGTAAGCAGAGTAAAGTGGGAATGCTTTTGGGCTCTGTCTGAACCATCATTAGTCGGTACTCCCTCTGTAAACAAATATAAGACGTCTTGTATTTGTTTACAGAGGGAGTATATGGTATCTTGTTTGCCAGCTGCTTGAATGACTGATCCCTATCTGTCGTTGCCAAGTAGCCTGGATTGGATTCCACACTGTGGCCATCACTGCATCGTTGGCTAGCCAGATTCCAAATCTTTGAGCCTAAAGCTCTAGGATCCGGATTCTCTTCCCCGGTCAAGTTGCTGGAGGAGATTGGGAATCAGAATCCAGTCCAGGGCGATCTATCTCTTTGGCTGGCGTTTTAATGCTGGGGATTCAAAGTGAGCATTCTTTTTCCCTGAAAAGGAAGTAGTGACCTCTCGGCTTTCTCCTCTTCACATGGTACATGTGGTGCCTCCTAGGGAGCAAGGGCACCGCGGCGAAGAAGGTGAAGAATGGCAATGCGAGCTCATAGCTAGGTACGTGTCATTTATGTGTGATGGTGATGCTTGTATGTATTTGTTGTACTCAAGCTGTTAAATTTAGATGTCAATGTGGCAGATGCTACCTGGATTAGCGAAGTGTCATTGTGACATTGTGACTTGTGTGTCTATGTGCACATTATGGTTGCTAACAAGGTTGTGTCTTGTTGTACTTGTCCTGTCTTGTAATCAATAAAATTTAGTTTCATCCTGTTCTGATACTTTTAGAGAAAGGGAA